TTATTAAATTATTCATAAAAATAAGGAGCAATTCATTTTCATGTACAATTGTAGCAATTACTAAAATTATTCAACCTATTAATAATAGATTATCGTATAATGCCGATATTTTTCAATCGAACTAACGCAATTCTTTTGTAATTAATGCATTAATGCATTAATGCATTTATTTTTAAAAATTATATAATATCTTGATGTGCAATCTTCGCAGAAGATTTTCAAGCTCAAAATGACGATTATTATGCAATTTGTTGTTTGTGAAAAGCAGCAATAAAATATATACTTAATAAATTATGATAAATCTAATTTAATATTTATATTTAAAATATAAAATATATGAATATTTTGAAGTTATTGTTTTTTTATTTTTGAGTTTTTGAGTTCATTTAAAATTTTTGATTGTTGATTATTTTGATTGAGAAAAATTAATTTGAAAATTATTTAATGTTTTGCTTGTTATGTATAACTTTTGATTCAATATATTTATATTAGAGTTTATTTGTCTGTAGAATAAAATAGTAAAAATTATCTATTTATTTTTTCTTTTTTTGTTAAATAACATGTAATTTTAATAATATTTTATCATTAATTGCGCTAGAAAGTTATATTATAGTCATTATTAAAAATTATTTACAAAATAAGTCAATCTATATTAAAAAATTTTGTTAATTGTGAATTATTTTTTTTTTTTTAGTTATTTGAATAATTATTAATCTAAAATTATATATTTTGTTAAATATATTATTATATTATACAATTTAATTTTATAAATATTTAGCATATGTATAGTATCAGTAATATATTTATTATCGACATACATTGTTGTTGACTACATAAAATTTTGTTTCTTCCCTGATAAAAAATCACTTAAATTCCGATATCTCATGCTGCTGAACAAACAAACAAATTACATCATCGTTAAAAATAATGGAATAAAAATCGATATTTGAATCAATTTGTTTTTCTTCTTGAGATTCTCCTTTTGGTACTTCTTTTAGTATTCAGATTATTTTTTTGTTATTTTTAAACAGCAATACAATGCATTTTGTGGATATGTTCTTTTTTTGTCATGGCGATAATTAATACTTTGGCAAACATCTTTAAACTTATATTAACCAAAGTATCGAAAATCACAACAGACTATCGGTTATCGGTATTTTCTAATACTTACCATTGTATCTATTTAAATGTTAAATTACACATATAATATTTTTTTGTTGTCGATAAGAGATCAGTAACACATTAATAGTAATTATTACTTATTTGACGCTTATCGATTATTTGCTAGGGATATTACTTATTGTTTTTTCATTGGAATAACACATTTAAAACATTGGTAATTGAAATTTGGCGAGAGTTATTTGACACAATCAACTTAATACATGATCGATTTTAAAAGTGCAGATAAATTTCACATGGTTGTTCCAGAAATGCTTCTTTTAATTCAAATCTTAAAACATTTTTGTTTTCTTTTTTTCAAAAATATATAATAAGAAATTAATGAAGCATTCGTTATCAAATTTGTTGTATAACATATTTACAATCTATCGTTAAAATAGCAAATATCCCTCGCCTTGGAAGTATCGATATATGTGATAATTAAAGGGCGTCGCGATTATTTCTCGGCGCAAAAGTCGTTCTTGTTTAAGAATAAGTTTAACAGCGATTGCTTTAGAGTCCATTTCCATTTATAGACTGTTCTGAAAGCTAATACCTACGTTCAGCAAAAGATAGAAAAAACACCGTATTACATTTTGTCTATGCTAATTTATACTTGGCTAATTAAAGACGAAAGAATACAGTCGCAAATATTATTCTAGATTTAACTCTAAGTAATTAATGTTATTGATAATAAGATAGATTTGACAGTAACAATCATTTAAGAACTAAATATATTTTTTTAAAATATTCGATACATAAATTTTTAGTTTGTTGTAGATTTATAAGATAATTTATGATTGTATTATAAGTATCTATTTATAGTATAGAATATATAGAATTATAGTTATGATTTGTTTTAAAGGGAATTCAAGAATTTTAAATGGATTAGAAATCTTAATTACTTAACCCTAAAAGTTAGAAAAATCGATTTTTAATTATATATTTGTTATTTTAATTCTTCGATATATAAAACATAGATAAAATATAAAACAAAGATTGAATTTAATGTAATTACACATGGCAGATATTTGCTTAATAATTATTATTATAATTATTAATAATGATTCCAGAGTATATAAAATTGAATATAATATTTGAATTGCTTAGATCATAAATATTATAATTTATTTATTTATTTTCTAATTAATTATTCTTGTAGTATAAAATAAAGAATTTCAAAAATATCTTATTATCAATTTAATCATCAATTCATTTTTCTCACAGTTTGTTCGTCTACCGCGAAATAGCCTATTATTTTTTTTATCTAATAAACTGACCGAGTCTATATTTTTCGTTGCATATTCACTGTTTTTATCTCACTCATGATTTTGTTAGCATTTATCTTAAATTGTATTCTTATATGCTTACGCGAAATTTACAAGAGAATTCTGTTAACAGTAAATTGAGAAAAAATATAATATAAAATAGATGCAACGGCAATTAATATAAATACATTACATTTATAAATACACTTTCAGTGAGCCATTTTATAAAAGGAACTATTAACAGAATTTCAAAAAGTAGAAGCGATTTTGAAGTATATGTACATTTGGATTGGAATTTGAAAGGATATGATGTATAAAAAAAATTAAATTAAAAAAGAAAAATGACAATGATTCTATTAAAGAAAAATACAGAAAAAGAGACGAAATTGAACCTGATATCCTAATATTATGCAATGAATCAAAAATACGTAAATTCCTTATAACAATAAAAATTATAACTTATTTTATATATAATTAAAATAAAAATCAATTTGATTTTTTGTTATCGAAAATATACATGTATGTATATATATATTTTTTATTTTTATGATTTCTAAGTAAGATTTATAATATTAATTTTATATTTGGAAAATATTGCTATATATTATAAATAGTAATGTTTTAATTTATTATTTTTTTTTGTAATAAGGAATTTATGCGTATTTATTCATTATTTCAAATTATATGAGTCAAGAATATCTAGTGGACTGTCTATTTAATTTCATTAATTAAATGAAAATAATATAAAGATCATGATATTCGCTACTATAAAAGAATGTAACATGGCATCACAATGATTTTGATTAACTTAAAAACTGCATGGGATTAATTATGTCGTGCGTAAAATTAATGTAAAGATATAATACGCTGCGTATATACAATTGTGAATAATAAGGGGCACTCGCGTACATATACAACAAATTATGAATACAATCAAACTATTTACAACGTTAATAAATTTCTTTTAGTTATAGATTAGACAAATTATTTTTATACGTACCAACTATTAAACATAAAATATTTGTCTTCACATACATTTACACACACACACACTCACGTATTATGAATTTTGTGCAAAAAAATTCACATTTATCATCATATTTATACTTATAACGAATTATTGGTGCAACATGTATGCTTCATTAAAAAATTTTCAATTAAGATTGATTTTTTTCCACTTTTTTTTCTTTTGAATTGTTTATAGTTGCAATTAACGGAGTGCATCTATTTTTATGAAACAATTTTTAACGCTTATTATTTTTTGTTTATGATTTATATTGAAAGCTATGTTATGTATACTTGGTGCATGTTCAGAAATTGACAAATGTTATTGAATTTATATATGTATACAATAGCAATTTTCTAACTATATCTTGAGACTAAATCATGGTTGTTTTAGCTTTATTTTTTTTTTTCAATATTTAATAATAAATTTTAATTAACGGTATGCTTATAGACCGACGTTAACTATCAACTGCTTAGGCCTTTTTCTTTAACGTGAATAAGAATGTACAATCGGTACGATTATACATAGAACGCGTTAACATGCAGATGATAGTTCTTTTTTTAAATCTCTTAAGCCTGATTATTATAGCTTTGCCCATGAATATTGTATACAAGACATTTATGTTATTAAATGTGAGAACAAAGAAATGTTAATAGGCAGATATTCATTCATTCTATAATATGAGGCACACAGACAGCCATATATCATTATAGCGGTATTATTTATCTTAGAAACTCAAAAGAAAAATTGATGCACTCTATTAAGTTTCAATATATTTAAACAAAAATAAAAAATTATAGGGATAATTAATACGCTTTTTTCTTTATCTTTATAATTTCAATAAAATTAATTTGATCGAATTCTTTCACTCTATCGGAATGTACTGTGAAAGAAAGGCTTTCATTGCTGAAATCTATAAACGTAGAAAAAATTTGATAGTGAAAAATATCAAATTATAATATATCAATATTTATAATTATCAATAAAACTATTGGATGTTGTTAATAAAATCAACTCAATTCTTTTGTTTTTGATTGTGAGTTTCTTCACACTTAATTTACCTACATATCTCTAGGTAACCATTCGATTTAAAGCTGAAAGCTTGGATACCTATTAACAAGTTTCCAACAAAAAGTGTTTCCTAGAATCATATACAATAGTATATGTAACAGTTACGCTCAGTCGTGCCATGTGTTCGGAAAAGCGCATTACTTTTGCGCTGATCTGATACTACAATGGCTCTACATTAATCAACGTAATTGGTGTTTTTCCTTGCGAAGTCAACAGATTTTTCCCTGTTGACGTTTGAAAAGTTTTTCTACCTACGATAAAGCTATATGATGGACGTTCACATATATACTTAAATAAATTAAAAAAAAAAAAAAAAAAAAAAAGAAATGAAAAAAGGAAAAAAGGAAAAAGAAGAAAGGAAAATTGTTAAATTGTTAAATTTTATGAGATGATAAATGCATTTCGATTTTTTCCCCGAAACGTTTGAAATTCGTATCGATATCGTATACGTTATCGTTAATTAATATTGCCAATTCGTTATTAAACCTCNTTAATGTATGTGCGGGGTTTCTTTCCCTTCATGCTATGTTAAGCATCGTTATAGCTGCATCGTTTAAGTATACGTTGCATAGATCCATAGCAAATTTTTCCCTTATTTATCTTATGGCAAAAAGGAAAAAAACTATAAAAATACATTGAGACATGATTGATCTTAGCCAATTCATTAAAGTCTCGACGCGTTTCGATTCAATCGATATCCATACACGCAATTTATATTTTTAAACAAAACAAATACATCAAATTTCAATTTGATCTAAATGTTTGTTTGTAATCTCTTTTTCTTTTTCCTTTTGTTTAATATAGATTGAATACTTAAATTTCCATAAATTAAAATACAACCTCACAGAGGCTGTTGAAACGGTATAGACATAGCTAACCCTTTCACCATCCTAGAGTGTTGTATCATTTTTCTTCAGTTCATAATTAAAAATTTATCTAAATACCATAAATATAAATTTCTAATTCACTGATTCAGCCTTTCGATTTCGAGACACAGGCAGTGAAAGGGTTAGATATATTCTAGTTCTGCGACTGTGTTTTTTTCCCACCACGTGGTTTGATACTTTCTGAAATCTGCCACATTGCCTCCTCACAGAGGAAATCACTGAAATTATTGAAGAACGTTATGATACGTTCGTGTTTCTTGAATGAATATGTCCTGTAATAAATGAATAATTAAATTTAGAGCAAAATAATAAACAAATAAATTATTAAAAAAATAAAACATACCCTTTTTTGAACCTTTTCATATTTTCAACAATATTAAACTGTTGCCATCTTTTCGAAAAATTTATGCTGCCATCAGGTAAGAGATCACTATTTCCAATATGCACGAATGTAAGATCTTGTAATACAAGTCCACTGTAGGTAGAAAAGTTATTTAAAATATTTTATATACTTGATAAACTTTGATTTTAAATTATTATATTCAAATAATTATAAAATGTATTTACATATAAGGAATACATGGCGGTTGCGTTTCTGCCAGAGCTTGTCTGTAAGCTCTAAAACTACTAGAACTATCAATAAGAGCACAATATTCCTTTAAGCCTTCTGTAATATGTTTTTGCCATTCGAGTCTCCTAATAGGTGCACTATCCAATGCAGAAAGCAAGGCTAAATAACTATTAAAATTGTTTATTTTTCTAAGATGTTTCATTATCTTAATGAATTTAACGACATATTTTTCCCTATCTTTTGCTTCGTTTTCTAATCTGTGTTCTAATATTCTCGATCTGGCCCAGTACGACATTTTATTAAAGTGTTCTGTAAATCTAGTTAAGTTCGGACTTCGTTCTTCGTTTTGTTCTTGTGCCCAAATTAGTACTTCCGGTATTTCGATTTTCATAAATAAATCAGCATCTAATAATGTCATTTGTTCCGCAATTTGTTCACTTTTAAAATCGAGAAGGGAAGCTTGTTTTGTTGTCACACTTAATGAAGAGAGAATTGGTTGTGCGGATTGTAATTGTTTCACAGCGTGTTTTTCTAAAATTTTAACACGCAAAGCTTTCGCCATAGTAAGATCACCACTACATACTAATTGTTGTACGAATTCCATTAGAGTTTGCAAGAGGGTATCATCCAAATCTGACATACTAAAAAAAATCATATTGTTTTAATTATTTTAAAATATTTTAAAATAATAATACATAGAAAAAAAAAATTTTTTTACGCAACTTACGTTAAATCGCTAACAGCTCTAACTAATAAAGAAAATGCTTCACGAGCTGCTCTTTGTTTGACAACGTCAGCAGAACAGGAGAATCGCTGATGACGTTTATGCAGTTTTTGAATTAATTCCAATGGTTGCATGAATGTTCTATACGTTGTTAAAAATGCTTCTTGATACAAAAAGTCTGTAAATAAGCATGAAGATACATTAATTTATGAAATAATAATATATATAATATAATAATATATTATTAAATATCTCAATATATTATACATATATAAGAAAATTGCACATATCTGAAATTTTAATAGAATTTAAAATGAATCTAACAAATTATTACACCAACCTGATTCCTTCTCATCTATGAAGCATGAAAAAGTATGAAGTGCAATTTTTATTCATATTCTTTGATGATATTTATTAATAATGCAATTCAAATTTCAAAAATTTAAATAAATTCTTACCGTGTTTATTAGCTTTAGTTGCATGAATTAGTAATGCATCAGGATGACCACCTCTTATATCTGGTCCTTCTTCATCTGGCTTTTTAAAAACTAAATATTTACTGATATCTAGTTCATCTAATATGCTATCGTCTTGATCAATATCTCTTAATTCCAAAGTATTATCATCAACAGATATCGATGATAAAGCATTACTAGCTGGTCTTGATGATGTAGATAATATTGTATCTAAGGCAACATTATTCTGAAAATAAAATAGTACTTGATTAATAATATTTGATAGTATAAATTTACAGTAATTTATGAATTTTTAAGATGTTCACCAATTTTACTGGAGTCGAAGGTGTCAGCTCTTTCTTATCATGAATACAACCAGATTCTTCTATCTTTACTGGAGTCGAAGTTACGATTGGCTCGATTGTATGTATACTTTGCATGCTAATGGTAGGTTTTGGCGAAATTGGTGGAGGTGTTGCATTTGATTTAATGGATCGGGATCTCTTTGGTGGTAATGCTGGTGGGAGACTAGAATTATTTGTTAGTTCTGTTACTGATGGTGTCATAGTTATGGAGGTACTGAAAGAAATAATAGATGATATTTTTTTTTTATTTTCTATATTAAAAATGAGAATACTTGTGTATATATTTATATTAAATTACATACTTTGAACTATCGTGCAATGTGGTCATAGTATGTGCCATGAAAGAACACGATTGTGTCGTAGTAAGGGCCATATCATTTTGCCATTCACCTAACATTGAATTATAAGCTGCCACTGAATGGCGGGTCCCAAGACCAGAGATGAAATCATTGTTACTGTGAGAACAATTCCCAAACATCTCCATGTATGCCATGACTGCAATAGATATAATCACATTTATATAATTGTAATGTATTGACAATGACATAGTTATTATGAAATAACAAAAATAGATAAATAAAAATATGATTCCATAGTATATACATATATGTGTATATATATATATATATATATATATATATATATACACATATATTTATAATATATATGATAAATACAAGCAATTCATGTTACAATAAAATATCAAAGCACAGATGTAAAATACTGAAAAACACTGATGCACAAGCATATATATCTCCATACATAATTATACATAAATTCACGAATACAAGATTCGTATAAACTCACTGGAATAAGAGTGTAATCTTTTGAATAACATTTTCGCCGATTACAATACTTTTTATGATTAAATGATTTTACGATTATTTAACTGGAACAAATATCATATAATACAAGTACGAATAAATATCATATATATATCGAGAAAATTTCATTTTATAAGAGATCTATATTTTCTTTGATTCTTTACGTATAATCGTGGAAAACTAAAGTCAGCTGGCTTAACTCTAGAGTTAAAGAAGCATAAGTGTTAACTGACTATTAGCAAGAAAAGGTCAATTTAATTAATGGAATAATGTCGACGCCCACAAGTAGTTGAAGATTAATTTCTACGATTAATAACATTTAGAACTTATACAAAAATGTTAATGAAAATAATAAATTTATACAATAAAATAATACATTGTGTAATAAATTTAAATAAAAAAGTTAATGTATGAAATTTTAGTTCATGAACTAATTCAAATAAATAAATAAAAAAAAAAGGAAAATAGTTGAATGCAATTAAATCTGAAAGTTAAAAAAATTCATGTTTAAAAAAAATGAATATTATTCTTCATTTTTTTTTAGTTTAGTATTATTTCAATTAAATTAAAAAATAAGCCATGAAAAAGCCGAAGTTATGAATAAAATATTCAAGCTTAATATTAAATGAAATCGTATCAATCATTTCGACAAAATGAGATCAAAAATAATTGATGAGAACATGCCGCAAAAAGCTAGGAGCTTAAAAATCGTGTATAATCAATGCGTGAAACGAAGGGTTTCAACTTAGCGTGAACGTGTTTGCTGAGGGATAGCTGATTTGTGTGGGCAGGATCCCACTTACCAGAATATGCCACTGATTGGAACACTGGGGGATACAAAATATTGTATCAGTTTTAACCTACTATGTGGAAAAAATTCGGAACGACTATTCTAATATAATCTAAATAATTTCTAACATAATTTTGTCTAATATTTATTCTCTTTAAATTCAAAGTAATTTCATTTTCAATACATATAAGTAATATTAATATTACTTTAATTAAACAGCAATAAAGCAATGACAACAATAGTATTAAATATTATCTGCGTTATTGCTGTCTTTTTACTATAAATTATGATTAAACTTACTATGCCTTTTTTTAAGAGGAAGTGGTGGAGGTTTACTGGCATCTGGATTATCGCCATTATTAGTATGTAAACTACAGGTTGATAAATGCTCGTTTTCAGGTACATTGTCGTACTGCGATGGCTGACGTTCTTTTCTCCGTTTCGATCGTTTTTCTGGTAATGCCGGCGGTACACCATTAGCATCCGATGTAGATATCGATTCCATTTCCTGCACAATATAGAAATTGAAGAATAAAAAACAAATTTTGATATAATTATTAGTCGAACTGTTATAATCATATAAAAAAAAATGAAAACGAAAAAGATTTATCAATTATAACAAGTAACAAATATTATGATAAAAAAAAAAAAAATACAACACCCACATTTACCAATTTTTCTAATATCGCGGAATCTCCACTTCCAGATATATTTGTGCTAACAGTACTCTTCGAACTAGTCATTGTCTTCTGAGTGAAAATAGACCCGTTACTATCCGAAGATAGTTTTGTTTGTGAAAACGATTGTTGAGAATTGAACGTTTGTGAATTATAACTAATGCTGCTCTGCTGGGAAGATCTTTTGGACGTTATACTGGAAGTAGTAGTATAACTTTGGGATGAACTTCGTTGTGAATGCATTGATACGAAACCAGATTCTTGCGTTTGGGTCGATAATCGATTTCCTTCTATACCTGAAACATAATCATCAATATAATTTTTAATAACACATTAAAAATTTGTACGTATATATAATATTTTTTCTTACGCAAGAATGTCTTCAAAGTTTCCCAATTAATGGCCATGATGTATTCTAAGATTAGTATTAATTGATTAAATTTCGAAAGAGAGTCAAGAAAAAAGAATTTCAGTTTGTTAAACTGATTCGAATGAAGATCTATACGATACTGTTTATTCATTCAACATCAGAAGGTCTAACGCCTACGCTACTTGCTCTACTAGCTCTATTTGAGAAATTCTTGCGTAATTTTAGCTTTTACATTTTTTTCTTTATATTTATAAATATGCAACGTCATCGGTAACGCCTTTATTTCAATACTATAATCACGTTAAGTACAAAATAATTTTATATTACCTACCAGTAAATTGATGAAGCACTTCTTGTGGAGTTTGTTGACCTAATAACATAGTACTTGGTATATTTGTTTCGGAACCGTCCCAGCAACTACAGTTTGAACTACCATTAACTTGCATGCCTATAAATATAAAATAATAATTAACACATTGTCTTTTTTTTTATATTATTTTCTCTATAACGATACTATATAAATATATTAAAAAAAGAGAGAGAGACTACATTTGTGTTTTATTATTAAATATGATCTTTTATTATCACACCACATAATTTTTTAACGTTAATTAATTCACTATATATATTATTTCTTTTAGAAACTAAAATTAAAATGTGTATCTTAACACTTTTCCAGTAAAACTGATTCGATGATTAAGACAAGCATAGTTGAGAACTATTTTGCTGACTAAGCACTGTCCACATAATGTTCTTCTTGACACAGATGGAAATGTACTTATACATTATTCTTTCATTACCTTGTTAGGATAACTTTAATTTCATTTCATCGTTTTCTTTTTTTTAAAAATTAAACGTAAATCAATAATTATTTATAAATAATTAATCTCTAATAAACATGTTTATCCCTAACTTTTTTTTGTAAAAAAAAAAAAAAAACAAAAAAAAAATCAATCCCAGAACAATCATTCATTACCCTGAATAGTAGCCATCAGGCTGAGATCCATACTATCGTTCAAAGAATCGTCGTTTGGTCCCATGATCGCCCGTATCTCATCCTCGTCGCGAGAATGATTTAGGGCCGAATCCAAACTGCCAGCCGACGCGCTTAGAAGAGACGACGAATCCTCTGGAGATCTACTTCGTAGGGAAACACCATCAAGACTAGATGCTAAAAGACCTTCGGACTCGTCGAGCAACTGTTGAGCCCTCGTTCTCCGTTTCGGTGGCAATGGCGGGGGCGTACCGGAAGAACTATTTTCCTCCGACAGACACACATTAGTTCTGAAATTTATCATCATTAGAGAAATTAATTATTTTTTAACAATCGCTGTTAAAAGCCATATATGTAATAGGTACACCGAACAATAAGATTACATGCATTGTTACTTTCTATAAGAAGCTTAGGAAACTACCTTTCGGGGAGTGGTGGTTTTGGGGGTGGACTAGAATCCCTTAAAATCGACTCTGAACTATGCGAACTACGGACCAGACTAGTAGTCGCAGCGGTCTGCTCTAAAATCTGCCTTTCCCTCGGGGTTAGCGGGATATCGGGTAAAGAATTTCTTTGTGGCGTCAATTCCGATCCATAACCCGACGTTCTGAAAGTTCGATTTCAGTTGTACATCGTGTCAAATTCTGTTGGTTATGACGACACAAAAAAATATCGAATTTTTGGTCGCTTTTTTCTTTTTTTACTATTAGAGAACAATTATCGAAGTGTGTAAGATTTAATGGAGATTATTATTAGCGAAGAAGAGAAATTGTTATGTACTGGATGGATAAAGAGAGTGGCTACCTATTACTCGTTGCGACGGCGGCAGGTTTCTGTCTGTTGGCGATCTTCTCGTTCGCAAGATCGACCAAGTTTTTCACCGCGTCCTCGACTAATCCTATAATGTGCGTCACGTTCTCGGTGTCCAACGCGGAGGACTGGTCGCCGTGCAGCAACACGTCGTCGCAGAGTTTTAACAATTGTGCTAGAGCTTGGTACACCTGATTCGTCGCTGATCCCAGAGTGGAGCTTCGAGAAAAAGAGAGAGAAAAAAAAAAAAATAGAGATAAAATCGCACCATCTTTTAATCGTAATAATAATTATTATAACACGATAATTATAATGTATATCGATATATATCATATCTTTTTACCTGTTCTCGTAGAGTAAATAGGATTTCAACACTGTGTGTATCGTGGTGATGTGGTCGAGGATGATGGTGCCGTTCCCGGGCAGCATCTCGAGCTTCTTCTTCAACACGACGTCCTTGAAGTGGAGCAGTGCCAGCTGCACCTGTCGCACGTGGATGTGCAGGTCACGGAGGGGATTCTTGTCGAGGGTGGCGTCCGTGCACCCGGGGGCGCTTTTGTCCCGCGGCGTCCGCGGCGAGGAGGGAGAGGCGGCCCTCGTGGCCGCCCCGCTTCCTCCGCCCCCGCTGCCGCTACCGGGAGAACGCATGTGGGAGAGCTTCTCCAGGAAGTCCTCCTTGAACGAGCGCGCACGACGCGCAAGTTTACCGCCGCGCGCCTTCCCGCCGGACCGCTCCTCGACTTCTGTGATCAAGTAAACAACAATTGGGTTAGATTTCGTTTTGTTAGATTTTGTTATTTGGGTTAGATTTCTGTTTTGAAAATTTGTATGTCGAATTATATTATCCTCTTCTTCTCGAGGATAAATGCGATTGACGAGAATTACGATCTTGTTTTTTTTTTTTTTGATAGAATAGAATTTCTTTTTGTCATCTGTGACAAAAAGGTTGGCTTCATTCTCATTGGGCAGTTTTGAAATATAATTTATTACTCGGAATAATTATCTGCGCAGCAATTACGTAGATGGCGTAGATTAAATTTAATGATACACATGTAATGGAGTTATTAATAAATTGTTATTTTATAAATTCTTCTCTAAGAATTGTATAATAGTTGTAATCAATTATTCTTTCAGAAGCACAAGCTGCTGGAAACAACAATCGAAACATAAATTGTTCACGATCTCTGTTACACTGCGTTAAATCGAATTAAAGTTACTGGAAAGTGAGCACGGCGAAGCAAGTCGAGTTTCTTCAATTGTTCTTCGACTGTAAAGAACATTTCGAAGCGGTATAATTTCTTGAGAGAGAGAGAGAGAGAGAGAGAGAGAGAGAGAGAGA